TATATATATATATATATATATATATATACATATCACTAAATAAGCCTTTGAACATGAACATGAAAACACGCCAGTGTCACAGCCTCCCAGTGAGACAGGGCTGCTGGTGTTTGACGTCCATGAGCTGTGAAGTTACAATCCTGTTGACCTGATTAGGCTTCTTTACTTACCACCTGTTGGCACACACTGTCGCCGTGTCAGGTTGGTCTCTTCTCTAAGCACACATTAAGTGGGAGAAATCATTCTTTGAGCCTCCGCTGGTTTAGTAGTCTCTTATGTTATTTTATTTTAACTTTATTCTTTTGGAGAGGAACCCTATGTTTAAAAAAATGCAATAATATGTAATATAAGATCAGATAAGAAAAGACAGAACTTTATTTATCCCGCAGGAAATTGTTGTGCCAGAGTTTCAGTACAAAGGAACAAACACAAGGAATTACATAAGATGTAAAAAAACAACAGAGAATATAAAAATACCAACAATTAAGGTTGAAACAGGTGCAGACAGAAAGATTAAATAATTTATTGTAGTACGGGATTGATTTTATTGTCCTATTTGTAGAAAGGGGGAGGAGTTGAAAAGTTTGATAGCCTCAGGGGGGAAGAACTTCCTGTGTTGTTCTGTGGAGCACCTCGGTGGTCTCCGTCTACGACTGAAGGTGCTGCAGTGAGTCCAGGGTGTCATGCAGGTGGGGTGACGTGTTTTTCAGGATCCTCTGCTCAGACACCTCTGTCAGAGACTGCAGGTCCACTCCCAGAACTGGGCCAGCTCTCTTGATGAGTTTATCGGGTCTGTTGGCATCAGCTTTCTTTACCCTGCTGCCCCAGCACACCACAGTGTAGAAGAAGATGCTGGAGACCACCGAGTGGTAAAACATCTGCAGCATGGTCCTGCAGACATTAAAGGACCTGAGTCTCCTCAGAAGAAAAAGGTGACTCTGTCCTTTCTTGTAGTTGGTGTTAGCTGTCCAGTCCAGGTTATTGTCTTGGTGGACCCCCAGTTACTTGCAGCAGTCCACAGTGTCCACCTTAGTACCCTTGATGTTGATAGGGTTGGGGGGGTCTTATTCCTGTAGTCCATCTGCAGCTCTTTAGTTTTTCCAACGTTGAGTTGCAGGTGGTTCTGTCCACCACACCTCTGTATTCAGCTTCCTGGTCAGCAGTGATGCAGCCCACAATGGCAGCGTCATCTGAGAACTTCTGCAGATGGCAGGATTGTGAAGTCCGAGGTGTAGAGGGTGAACAGAAACGGTGAGAGGACCGTCCCCTGAGGAACCCCTGTGCTGCTCAGTATGGTGTCTGAGGTGGTGTTCTGCAGCCTCGCATAATGTGGCCGACCTGTGAGGTAGTCTCTGATCCAGGTGACCAGCAAGTCATTCACCTGCATGTCCAGGAGCTTACTGTAGAGCAGTACTTTGATGTACACAAGGACTTCTTAGTGATTTGAAGGCAGCTGGGGGGCCAAAGTCACCAAGATCACCAGTGGTAACTGTGCTGTAATTGAGAGAAATCTTGCAGCACTGATAAGGCCCGTCACAAATTTGATAGTGAACTTCAGTTTGTGTCAGAGGAGGCTTGGGAGAAAGTGGTCGGATGAGACCAACATCAAACCTTTTAGTCTTGACTCTTTGTGTATGGAGTTAGATAAATGCACCATCCTCACAGTCAAGCACCGACATGAAAACATTATGCTTTGGGGACAACATCACCACACTGAATGAACAAAGCCATGGACCTTTAAATCTTCCCTCAGTCAGAACACAGAAGATGGGCTGTGTGGATGAGACTTCCAGAATGACAAGGACCCAAAACTTACTGCCATGGTGACTGAGGAGTCGCTTCAGCAGAAGTACTTTAAGGTCATGGATCATGTAATTATTTCCCCCCACCGTAAGGACAGTTCAGAAATCTAAGAGTGAAATTATTCCTTCTCTTGTCTCTCGGTCTCTCTCCTCTTTATCTCTGGCAGCTCCAACTCTTCTTTCCAAAGCGTTTAGTTTCGTCTGGGCTATATTAGGACATCAGTATACCCTGCCAGCAGATGGGATGAATCTATTAGATGGAACAGCATCGTGACTGTTTGGAGGCTGTGAAATAAGAAATTATGTTTTCATCTGTCTGTTTGAAGGCTGGAGGCTTTGATGCAGCAGCTGCTTTGAAACTCCCAGTTTTGTTTCCACCGCCCTACTTTTCTGACTGCTGATATCAAGAGTTTACCATCATGTTGAGAAGTGGTTTATTGTAACTTGTAGGTGATCTCTGTCCTCTCCAGGTAAATCTCACCTGGCCATCGTTCAGAAGGTGAACAGCGAGGGGGAGGGGGATCCTTTCTACGAGGTGCTGGGTCTGGTCACCTTAGAAGACGTCATCGAAGAGATCATCAAGTCGGAGATCCTGGATGAGTCCGATCTTTACAGTGAGTCAGCACTTTCTGCCACGTCTTGCACAAACCTAACACCTCTCACCTCACTGAGAACTTCATTCATATAGCAAAGCATGGTAGTGCTAGCATCATGCTGTGGAGATGTTTTAGACATTTCAAAACCCCATCTGACATGAGCAGTTCTTGGGTCAAACCCAGGAAAGTGATCATGTTCCTGCTAACACCGGTCTTCCTGACACTTCCTGAGCCACTAATTTGGAGATAAAAACAGAGAAAACCGAAGTACCTGGAGAAAACCCACGCATGTACGGAGAGAACATGCAAACACCACCCAGAAAGATCCCCAGCCGGGATTTGGTCCTGCGACCTTTTCACTGAGAGGCAACAGTTCTACCAACTAGAGCTGTAATTTCTAACCCGAACCCGGAGCCTGGCCCAACCCGGATTAAGGCCGGGCCATAATAATGTGCTTAATGTGCGGGCCGGACCGGTGTTGGGCTTTTGATTGCATCATTGGGCATGTGCGGCTGACGATCCAATTATATGGCAAAATGGCTTGCCATACAATCACCAGCCGCATGTGGCCATTTGATTGCATGCTGACTGGCCTTTAAAGAGGTAAAAAAAAAAAAGTTCAGCTAAGCTTCAGGTGGGACTGCCAGGCAGCGATCCATCAAAGGGAAATGGACATTCATTCAGCTGCTGCACTCAACGGACGCATGCGGCCGATGATCCAAACAGGTGAGATCCCAAAATATCCGACATGTCAGAGCAGGGTCCGTGTCTGAATAATGCAGAATGCAGACATAAGCAGGGATTTAATGTGCTTTGACAGCTTTGAAAGGACAAACACCCCCTCAGCTCTGATCTTCTGCCCCCTTAGCTGCGCACGACCGCCAACCGTTAATAACTAGATAAGCAGTCAAAGCTTAATTAAAAATGTTGAGGTTTTTTCAGGTTCGGACCTGTAATTGTTAATTCTTCGGGTCGGATGTAGTTCGGAAATGATGGCTACAGGCTGGGGCCGGGCCGAGTCGGATTTTTTGGGCCCGAATGCATCTCTACCAACCAATACCACACAATCAGCATATAATTAATAATGAACAATCTGCAGTGCATCCATAATAGATTTAGATTTATGCTAAATAAATTATTTAAAAAACTTGCAAAATCCAAATAAGAACTTAAGTTACAGTATAATAAACTAATATGAGAAAAAGTTATTTCAAAGTTTGAAACATTTTGTTCAGTTGAAAATTGATGTGTTTCCGTGTGCTGCCTTCAAATATATTAGGAGAAGCAAAGCATCACTTTAGATTTTTTTAATGGTTAAAATTTTTGGTGAAACTCTTTGTGTTGCACCTTCACCCTCCTTCTTTTCCTCCTTTTCGTTTATGTGCAGCTGACAACAGAAACAGGAAGAAAGTGGATCCTCACAAGAACAAGCCAGACTTCTCTGCCTTCAAGCACGACGGTGACAGTAAAGTGAAGATCACTCCTCAGCTCATGTTGGCAGCTCATCGCTTCCTGGCCACAGGTGAGCTCCAGCCGGGGGCGGATAATCTCACTGCGAACTAACAAAGATTTTAATCCATGCCATTTTTCGGCGGATCTCATGACGGTTTGGATTAATCAGCTATATACAATATTTCAGGAGAGAACAGGACAGATGGAGGAACGGTAAGTGAATCGGGACATGCAGAGGATTAGTGAGGAGGACGTGAGGGCAGCTGGGAAGAGGATGAGGAGTGAAAAGGCGGATTTTTCAGATGCGACATGTGGAGGTATGGAGGTTTCTAGAAGTGAGGTCTGTGGACTTTAAAACCAGATATTGAACACAGATCCAGAGAGGGAGGATCCCTGAGGAATGGAGAAATGAATAGTGTAAGTGTATACAAAGGTGATTTAATTACAGAAGGAAAATCTCAAAAAGGGTTGTTGAAAAGAGTGAGCAACAAAAAAACAAAAAAAAAAACTCCACATGCAGTGTTTGCATTGAGAGTGTTTTTAGAGAAGTCTATTGAAGGTTGGAAGTCTCACTGTGTCTTTGTGGAACTAGAGAAAACAGATAGTGTGCAAAAAGAGGAACTGTGGCTGTCTGAGGGAGTCAGGTGTGGAGAATAGGTGTGTGAGGGTGGTGCAGTGTGCAGCAGGAGTGACGGATGAGCTCAAGGTGGGGGTAGGTTGTATCAGGAATCATATCTGAGCCCCCTCTTATTTCCTATGGTGGACAGGTTGTAGGATAGGGGTCTGCAACCTGCGCCTCTGGGGCCACATGTGACTCTTTGGTCCCTCAGCAGCAGCTCTTCCAGGCTTTGACCAAAACTAAAATAAAACTGAATTTTATTTAAGTTATTGCCAACAATGAAAATGGCTAGATTTAGCAGATTTCCTGTCATTTTCAAATATATGACGAACAGTACAAATACAAGGTGTAAAACGTGGACTACATCATGCTAGTAGTTTGTTAGCTACTTTAAGTCAACTTCCAGTCTTAACAGTGGGATCTTTCTGTCAAAACCACCAGAACCCAGACCCAGACCAGTGGTCATTCCATATGTTGAGGGAGTATCAGAGAAACTGAGACGTTTATTTTCTAAACATAACGTCCCAGTGGCTTTTCAACCCCAAAATACATTACAGACTGGTTCATCCCAAAGATCCAGTCCCCCGGCACAAACAGAGTAATATTGTGTATGCTGTTCAGTGTCAGGAGGGTGATCAGTCTTACTTCGGGGAAACTAAACAGCCACTGGCCAAAAGGATGGACCAGCACAGAAGATCAACATCATCAGGTCAGGACTCTGCGGTCTACACTCATCTCCAGGCCAGCGGTCACTCTTTCAAGGATGAAGATGTTCACATCCTGGACAGAGAGGAACGATGGTTTGAGAGAGGAGTAAAGGAGGCCATCTTTGTGAAAAGAAACCGTCCATCATTAAACAGGGGTGGAGGCCTCCGGGTTCAACTGTCCCCCTCTTACAATGCTGTGATTGCTAGTATCACTCAGCCCTCTGTGAACAGTAAACAGCCATCAGGGTGCTAATGATCCATTGTTAGGCTGATGGTCCTTCTTGAGCATGTGATCAGCTGGTTTTGGTTGTCAGCAGCAAAACTGGTTGATCCACTCTGAGAAGGTGCTATTTAAGAGACTGAGCTGAATACAGCACCTCAGACTGAGGAAGTCTCTTGGATGAGAGACGAAACGTTTCTACATTATATATTTTTTTTTTTTGAATGTCCAGAGGAACAGATTTAACTTTTTTAGATTTTTCTACCTGGATTATTGAGCAAGCATCAGGATATCTGAGGTGTACCTTCAGTCGAGAAAATGTCTCAGTTTACACACTTTTATACTGTAGCTGGTCAGTAGAAGGTGTTTGCTTTGTTTCTTACAGTTTATGTTCCTCCATCTAGTTGTGATTTATGGTATGTGGATGGTGTTTAACCCTCTGGTAATTAATACCATCTGTGTTTATCATTACCAAAAACATTTTCAAACCTCCAGTTCTGTCTTAAGAGGAAGACTTTGGGCAAGTTTGTTTCTTTTTTTTTTTTTTGAATACTCAGTAGTAACAACTTATAGTGAGTTTGTATTATTTATTTATTTATTTTTGTATTAATATGGTTGTTTTCTTTTAATCCTCACAGAGGTGAATCTGTTCAGCCCATTCCAGATCACAGAAAAAGTCCTACTGAGGATCCTCAGACACCCGGACGTCATCCAGGAGCTGAAGTTCACTGAAAACGATAAACGATCGCCTCAACACTTCCTCTACCAGAAGGGCAAGCCGGTTGACTACTTTGTACTAATTCTGCAGGTGAACACCTACACAAACACTAGAAATGGTTTTAATTTGAGCCACTGGTGCTGATGCTATTACCTCTGAGAGCAACAAGCAATATACACAGACATAGAAAAAATACTGACGGGCATTTCTGTTATTATTTATCATTTACTGGTGATTGTGAAGGAGGTGAAGTGGAAGAAAACATGGCTGCACAAGGGATTTTTAATGTCAAATCTGAGTGATGTTGCTTGTTGATGGAGACCTGTTTAGACTGGTCGCAAACCAGTTTATCTCAGGTATTTGTGCACAACACTGAACATTTTACACAGCAGAAGTCAGGTAAATATGTGCAAAAGATTTAGCCATTAAAATAACTCATGAACTTCAGCAAAAATCTGGAATTTAATTTTTATCAACCCTGATGCTTAGTGTGTTGTAGTGTGTTGTTGTGTGTTGTTGTGTGTTGTATGTATGTATGTTTTATTTATTCATTTCATTTAATCCAAACAACAAATATAATACAATTTAAAGAAAAGAAAAAAGATGTACAATCACAGAAATAAAATGAAAGGCAGCAGAAGAAGAATGAGTTCTTATAAAATCTGCCCCTTGTCCTCAAAATATATTCCAAACAAAATTACTAAACAAAAGCAAGATGAATTAATAAAAAAATAATAAAATAAAAACTTAGCTAAAATATAAGATCAACTGTAAACAATTTTTATGAACTCACATTATACCTAATATTTTTTTTAAAAACAAATTTTTATCATCTTCTTGAATATGTACATAGTTTTGGCATTTTTAATATCAACCTCCAGATCATTCCACAATCTAATACCCTGAGATCTAGTGGATCGCATCTTCAGACTGGTGCGACACCACGGCTTCACAAACATCTCCATCCCCTTAAGATAATAATTACTTTCTCTTTTAACAAATTTCCCTTGAATGTTAGTAGGTAGTATGTTTTTGTTGGCCCCATACATAAACAGTAAGATATTGTAATCAACCAAGTCATAAAATTTTAATATCTTTAGCTGATGAAACAGTATATTTGACGGATGGTTATAATCTTTTCTGGTAATAATTCTTATGGCTCTTTTCTGTAAAATAAAAATTGGATTTGTAATTGTTTTACATGCTTTACCCCAGACTTCAATACAGTAAATTAAATGTCAGAGTCAGAGTCAGAGTTTCTTTATTGTCATTCGCACCTCATGTGGTACATGTGGTGGAGCGAAATTATGTACACGGGGTCCCAGTTACAGCCAACAATAAAATGTATAAGAAAAACAGTAATAACATCTAAGATA